AGCGGCTTCCCTTCTCCGCGGGGCGCGCGGGAGAGGGGCGTTCGCAGCCCCCCAAAAGTGCAGGCCTCGCAGTAGCTTGGCTTCACATCGGGACCCAAAAATACATCCACCACCGGTTCTGCGCCCTGGGACACTGCTGGGCCATCCCGCCCCGTGGAAGAAAGGCGGCATCTCCATCCTATTTTTTAGATGCTGCTATTCCGACCACTCAGGCTCTTTCGCAAAGCCCAGCGCTGTCCAGTCCACTCACAGGGCCTTGTCCTGGCTTTGAGTCCAAGCTCCGCCCAGCAGGCTGTGCGCCCTTGGGCAAGTCACTTTCCTCCTCCGTACCTGTTTCTATTATAAAATTATAAAATGCAAAAACACGGCTGACATGGGAACGTTGTGTCAGGGGTGGCATTTAAGCAAGGCGGCCCTGAAGTGGAAGTCCCCTGAAGGCAAGGAGATGCCATGTTTTTGACCCAACTAAGTGCCTAATGCTTGCAAGAAACGCTATCTAATGCGCTAAGCTATCTAATGCGCTAAGTGCCAGTCGGAGCAACGTGCTGCGTTCTTCTCGTTGAGGTCACACAAAAATGACCTATGGGGTAGGCGGTATTGAGTTCGTTTTGCTCAGTCAGAGATGAGAGGACCAACAGGGCCTGCTTTAGAGGTCAAGTCTTCCTCCATTAAGTAGGGCCAAGTTATTTCCGTTTAAATGGAAATGACTCTACTCCCTCTGCCAGGGGTCCAAGACATGGACCGCAGAAGGCCTGAAATCTCTCCCTAGGTATTTATTTGTAACCAGAATTTGGGGTTGGATTATTTGCCTTCCAGCAGGCACATTCTACCTATCAGATCTTAAAGCTCAAGCAGTGTCTTTAACGTTCCATACAGTCCGTGGTGAGTGATCGATAAATGTTAAATAATTGGCATACAAAGCTCATGGATACAGAATGCAAAAACCTTGGGACTTTTCCCCAAAACCCAGAAATTCATCTAATCCTTCCCCTCCAAACCTGATTTGAGTTCAGGTCAATTCATACACATCTCAATTGCACAGGCTTAAAGGGAGAGTAATAATGTTTGATGACCAGCTCCCAGAAGAGAGAAAAAAACGCACAGCAAAAACCCTGATTTGTAGTGTTGGCTGATTTTGATGGCGTATAAATACGCTCACCATGGCCAATTTCCTCCTACCACTGTGATGTTACTGAACATAGGATCAAAGAAGTACCAGGGTCTAGTGCACTGCAAAGCATGTCCCATGGGCCACAGGCTGTGATAAGCACATGCATTTTCTCATTTAACCCTCATAAAATACAAGGTAGGTACTCATATCCTCATTTCATAGATAAACTCAATTTTTTTCTTTTTTTCAGTGAAAGTAGCAAAGCCAAAGTTCTAAACCAGGCTGATGCATGGAAAAGCCTCTGCCCTAACAGTTTTCCCATTTTGTGACATGACTTACAGTAAGATGTACATTGGACATCCAGACCTGGTACGTTCCTAGGCACAAAAAGATACCCTTATTGAGTACAATGCGACCCTTATTCTTCTATTTTTTTCTTTAAATGCAGGTGCACTCCACTAAAATGAGTTCGTGACCCACAAATGAGATGAAACAGTCTGAGAAACACTATGCTGAGGGTTGCTGCTACACAAAGCCTGCTCACAGGTTGGTACCACTAACCCACAGCATCTCCTATGTGCCTGATCTACCTGCATCTCTCATGCATCTATCTGGCAGAGGCTCCAGGGAGCCCTTCCACCATCCTAGCCCTTGGCATCATCCTGCCCCTCTTCCTGACTTTTCCCACAGCAGCTTCTCAAGAGGAGTGCAAGGAGCACACACTAGGAAGTGGAAGAGAAACAGAAAGCAAAGGGCAAGAGTTTCAGTAAACAAGGGAGTGGCATGGACACACCAAGAGATAATTCACCCACGGTGCATTATTTCACTGGAGTCTCTTCCAGCTCTAACATTCTCTCCTTAGCCTCTTACCTCCCTCTCTTTCCCAGCTTCCTTTGAAGGAGAACCCCACAGTTTAAAAATCAGAACAGAGCGATGCTACAGTGCAGCAGCCTCCCAAGATGACTAGGAAATCTTAGCTAGGATGGCCTTCAACAAACACACACACACACACACACACACACACACACACACGCCTCTGAGCCTCCACAGCATGCTGCTTGTTGTGAGGGCTGATGGAAACAGCAGTGCTTAGCACTATGCCTAGCAGATCAGTGCCCAGTGAGTGGCATAAGCTAATATCCGAGTCTAGGTGAACCACCTCGGAAGGACTGTGGTTGCACCTTCTGGTCCTGTTAATTCTCCCAGGCAGCTAAATGGAAGGAGACCAGGAAGACTCGTCTACATTTTGCTGCTCACAAGTGAGAAGGAATTTACTACCCATCTCAAGAGCACAGATTATGCGTCACCGCTGTCTTAAATGTTTTACTTCTACTTACGCCTCACGGTAAAGCCTAACAGGTATTTTTGAGCCCATTTTGCAGAAGAGGAAAGAAACACGGTCATGTCACTTGCCCAACAAGGTCACACAGCCAGACAGAGCTAAGTTCCAAACACTGGTTACCCAGCTTTACCACAATGGGACGTCAACTGGGCAGGTCCATGCATCCCTTTGGACCAAGACCCAGTCAAGTCAAACTTGCCTAGTAACCCAGCAGATCCATAGGGGCACTTCAACGAGGACTCCTTGTCCAGTACTCCTTCCAAGAGCATGGCTGGACCTCAGCCAAGTCAAAAATTAGAAGATTCCCAGGCTCCGAGCCCCTCCCCACTGAGCCGGCCTATCACATTTTCCTAGTGCAATGCTAGTCCGCCTTCCACCTATCCAAACCCAGCCCCGCAAGAAAGCCTCACCACATCCCCACTCTATCAGGGAGGCCTAATCCCCAGAACAGTCCACTTTATGCCTAGCTCCAAGCCGTGCGTGTGCAAAAGGTAATCCTCACCTCCGATAATAGTTAATAGTGGGGAGGGGAGTAGACGTGAACGCAAGAATTACAATGTCATAATGTAGGGGCCAGGCTGAGGTGACTCCGAGCCCAGCAGCTGTGGCTCAAAGGAGGATGCATGCAGGAAGCGACTTTTCAGCAGAGAGCTGGGGAGCAAGGAGACTCGCACAGATAGGGGTACGGAGAGGAGCGATCGGACAGAGAACAAGTGGGTGTCCGGGTCTAGAGGTGAGAGCAGAGCCCCAGCAGGTGAAGAGAGGTAAAAGGTGCTGGAGGGAGCAAGAACCTGGAGAGGTCCACCGGGACCAGGTGGGCAGGGCCCCAGAAGTCTCAGTAGTCTATACCTCGAGGGCATGGGAAAGCAAGGAAGAGGAAGGGTTTCAAGCCAAGGAGTCACGTGATTGGCTTTGCTCAGGCTGGATGGGAGGAGGAGGAAGCGGGAAGCAAGACGAGGAGGAGGTGGCCAGAATTATGGGCAGGCAGCAGCTCAGGAGCAGGAAGGAGGTGGAGAGATATGAGAAGTTGGGAGGTAGAACCACCAGGACCTGGGGATCTGACGGGATGTGGAGGGGTGAAGTCAAGGAAAGGGGTCACATGTGTCTCCCCAGCCTCAGATTGGCTGGTGGTGTCCCTTCCCAACGCAGGGAACCCAAAAAGAAGCGTTTGGGGGCTGCGAGACCAGCTCGGTAGGCGCCGGAGTGGGGGCAGGGACGAGTGCCCACGTGCTCTGGGTCTCCCAGTTTTACTCCTCCGATGCTTCACTAAAAGCTAATCCACTCCCCCCGCTATGCTTACAACCCTTCAAGGGAGTTTGGGGTCACATCTCCAAACTCTCAGAAGGGACAGGATCGGGCAAAGAAAAAAAATCACTTAAGAGTCGATCCTTGCAAATCCCTTAAATCTCCAATAAAATGTAGGGGACATACCTCCCTTCGGCAAGTCCACAGAGGTCGCCGGCTTCTCCGGCTTGGGGGCAGGAGGCTGTCTCGGTTTCTTCGTTTGAGGTGGGAGTGAAGACTGGCGTTTGGGGGCCATGCCGTGAGGAAAAGTCGGAGAGCCAGACCCAGAGGAAGATGCGCGCCTGGAAGAAGCTCGGAGAACTGAGACTGCCCCAGGTGACGGAGGTTTAAATCCGCCCTGGAGCCGCCCTGCCCGGAGGGGATATTTACATGACAGTGGGACACACACCTCATTCCCCCTCCCCCAGCCTCTTCCCTTTCACCCACCCTCCAATCAAGATCAACTTCTCTCCGTCGCTCCCAGCACTTTTCTACCCGGCCTTCTAGGCATTGAGTGGGCGGGGGAGGTGTTTCCTTGTGGGAAGCAATCTGTCCTCTCTAGGACCCTCCTGGTCTTGACTCGAAACCACCAGTGACCCAACCCCCAGCCCTTTTCCACATCCTCTGGGCAGTGCTGTCCCCAATGAGAACGTGTCCTCTTCTTTTTTTTTTTCATTTGGCTTCCAGAAAACTTAAACGTGACCTTTCCTCACATCAGCCTGGAACATTCTTCGGTCCCCCCAAACCCCACTGCTGTGTCTGGCTAACTCCTTCCCAACCTCCAGGTCTCAGCTTGGAGGGATAAATGAATATTGAAATAAAAGATTCTCAATCAAGAATTACAGAAGAAGAGAGGAAAGCAGGTACCTTTGAGAGGATTCGGAGTAGCCATTCATTCTTCGCTCATTTCACAAAAGGACAGAAAGTTAGGAGTTTGAAGAACCTATAGAAAGCATCTGATCTGGGAGTCACAAACCCCAATGCCTTTTGAGCCCTGTCAGGCAAGCAAGTGGAATTTACAACAGCAAGTGGAAGGCAAGTTGGTTCAACCACAACCTTGAAATCAGCCTTGAAACTGCCTTCAAGAGACTTAATCTTGTTAACTGCGCTGCAGTCCAATCCCAGCCTTGCTTTCTCCCACCTCCATGTCATCTTCTTTGTATCCCCTTCTTAATTTCAAATGCATAAAAAACCTACAAAACTATTATTCTCAGGAGCATTTGACGTCTTCCTCCCTGAGTTGGTTCAACCACAACCTTGAAATCAGCCTTGAAACTGCCTTCAAGAGACTTAATCTTGTTAACTGCGCTGCAGTCCAATCCCAGCCTTGCTCTTTCCCACCTCCATGTCATCTTCTTTATATCCCCTTCTTAATTTCAAATGCATAAAAAACCTACAAAACTATTATTCTCAGGAGCATTTGACATCTTCCTCCCTGGCATATATCGTCAGTTTGGCTCAGATAAACTCATAAAAAAAATTTTTTTTTAAAGTTCGTATAACCACTCTGGAAAATTGTGCCAGCTCTACCAAAGCTGGACTGATGCCGAGTTACTCTGTGACCCAGCAATTCTTCTCCGGGCTATACCTCTAATGGAAATGTGTACCTGTGTGCTCCAACATATGTAATAAGTGTGTGCAAGAATGTACATAACAGCGAGATTCATAATAGCCAAGTTCAGGAAACTACACATGTGTATCAACAGTCAAATGAACATGTTGCAAGATATTGAGACAAGAGAACAAGATAAAACAATGAAACAAATGAACTATACGGCTCCGGGCCAGTGACATGAATGTAGCCACAAACTCAATGTTGCGTAAAAGACAAAAATAGGATAGGCATTGTGATTTTATTTGTATCAAGTACAAAAACAGGCCAAACTGATCTATGCTGTTGGAAGTCTTGAATGTGGGTACCCTCGCCTTGGGGCAGGCCGTCACTGGAAGGGGGCATTTGGCCTCTGGAACCCTGGCGATGCTCAGAATCTGGGTCTTGCTACACCTGTGTCTTTGATTTGTGAGCCCCGTGTTGTCAAATCTTTGGTTTTTCTTTTTTCTTTTTCTTTTTCTTTTTTTTTTTTGTCTAAAGGAAAGTTTGTTAGAAAAGGGGTAGCGCTCCACAGACAGAGTGTGGTCTCCTCTCAGAGAGAGAGAGTGAGAGGGACCAGATCTTTGGTGTTTCTAAAGAGAAGCCAGAGATACACATTTTTTTATGTGAAATCTCTGGATTTTAAAAACTGAGCAACTAAACACTTGAAAAACATACTTTGTGAACCTAATAAAACATGAGGTCAGGCCACTTTCAGCCTATGGGCCATGGGTTTGCAACTTCTGAGATAGTGCAATGATTTTCTTCCGTTTCTGTTTGTTTTTCCCCATTAATTACCTTCTTAACAAAATAAATCTCAGGCATAAGTCAATTATGTCAATACCGGTAAAAAGCGGAGCTCTTTCCGGTGGAAGACCCCACCGTCATCTCTTGCCATCCTCTACTCTTTCTTTCTTTGTCAGCTTCTGAAAGACATTGGGCTTCTTTCTAAGACATTTTGAAAGTTACCGTGTCTTGGCTTTACAAACGGGCAAGCCGAGACCTGAGAGGAGTGATTCGCCTCGGGTCATGAGGAAAATAACTGAGTTATAGCTGGAACCAGGATTGTGGGGTCACTTTTTGACAAGCTTAAGTCTCAGCGTTGACATCTGTAAAATGGATGGTGATAATACCTGCCTCTCTGTTTTAGGATTTTCAATCTGAGGACAAAAAGGTCCTCTTTTCCCTGTTTTTACTCCCAGAAATTATCCAAAAACAGTACGGGAAACAAAAATGAAAACTCTCTTGAAACTGGGAGTCTGCTAAACCCGAAACCACAGAACGATTCGGTGGCTGGATACCCAGAGCAGTGGAGAAGGAGCAGGATGTGTGCAGGAAGAGAGAACGGTGCCCTGGCTCCTGGTCTCTGGGCGTATCAGCAAAGGATGCTTCTGGAAGCAGAAGGGCAAATCAAAACCCCTTGCTTATAGCAGCCAGAACAGGGAGTTCCGACATGATGCTGTACTGGGTCAGTTTGGTTCCTAAAGCAAAGAAGGGGCTAAATGAGGAGTGGCCCAGAGGAGCGTCATAAAACAAATACAAATTAGAACTCCCTTGAGATACGATTTTTTTCCAACTCCAACCTGAGATCTAAAAGTTTGGAAACACTCTACCTGGGAGAGGTATGAGGAGAGGTCCATACAGGGTAAGTGGGTACAACCACCTTAGAGGGCATTTAGCCACAAGAATATATCAAAAGTACAAAACACGTACTGTTGACTCAGAAATTCTCCTAATAGGAATGTATCCTACAGATTCATTGCTCTACTGTGAGATGGCACCTGTTTAAGGTAACTTGTTGCAACATTGTAAAAGCAAGATTGGTAACAACTCCTTTAGGCTTCTGGAATGCTCTGCAACCAACAAAACAAGTATGGAAACAGAGCTATGGTAAGTAAAAACACACAAACAACGACAACAAAAACAATGTCCTAAACCAAGTAATTACCATTTGTATTAAAGGGGGGGGGGCGCGTAGAAAAAAATACAGGTTCACTTGTTTGCCTGTATATCTAGAGCACAAGGACTTCACAGAAGGACCCCCGTGAAGGTGATGACTCAGCCATCCCTGGGGAGGGGTGATGAGAAATGAGGGCTAGGGTTACAGGGGAGATGTTTCATTCTTTCCCCTGCTGTACGCTTTGAATTTTGAACCTTATGAGTATGTTACATTAAAAAATGTTACCTGAGCTCCATCCAGTATTTAGAATCACTTAACTCACCTAAGTACAGCACCCGCTTGGCACATGTCTGCTTACATTCAAACATATCAGACCCCACCTTTCCTTTCCTCTACAGTTTCCAAATTTTTCACTTCCTGGATTCCCAGAGGTGTCATAGTGCAACTGTGCGACTCTGCTCCATTCCAGAATCTGCTGCAAGCAAGGTGGGGGCAAGGCAAATGCCTCCCTCCACCCCACCCAAAAGTTGACAGACTCAGGATGTTCTGTAACCCTGAGGCCAGGCTCCCTCTGGAAACCAGAAGTTTCCAAAACATCCAAAGCACCGCATTGTTTTGTTATCTCTGTGCACTGTAGGACAGCTATAAACAGCTACCATTTATTGAGCATTAGCCGTATGAGAGGCGTTCACTAAGCATTATCCTTTTGAACCCTCCCATCGACCTTTTCAGGATATTATGTCCTTATTTTACAGTTGGGAGAATCAAACTAAATGAAGAACCCATACTCAAAAAATCTGGCCTCAAAAGGATAGAAGAGTCAGGATTTGAACCTGTGTCTTTCCGACTCTCCTGCATCACTTTTTGCCTTAATGTGATACAGGAGGATTTCTACACAGAGCCTCATTGCCAGGTAAGCCCAGAACACACCAGCACTTGTCTCCCAATCTCCTAGAACCCCAGGAGATCACCTCTGACCATCTCCTGGAAGATTTCCCTCCACACTTCTCAGCACAGAGGAAACCCTAGGATGGAAACAACCTTTGTCATAATCGGGTGCCAGGCCTCGGAGAAGGCACTTGGTTCCTTTTTCATTGCCCCCACTCTGTGCTCTGGCTCCTTACTAGTCATTAAAAAGTTATAATAATAGCATTTTAATTAAAATTTAGAAAATTAAAATAAGGCAAAAAAGATTATACTGTTTCCCACCCTCAGGAGCCAGCAATTACTAATATAACCTACCTACATGAGCTGCATAATATAAGCCTTATGTCATATAACATATTCACGTACGTTTAAAACAATGGGGATCGTACTACAAAATTTTTTTTTTTCCTGTCTTTAATTCCCTCTCTCTCCCCAACTTCCACTCCTGAATTACAGATGTTGCCGTCTCCCCTTAAGAACTGGATCTCTGAAGGCGGGGCGTCTCCTCCCACAAGCTCGAGGCGCACACCCTGGGCCTGGCTCACCTAGGGCCTGGTGGACCCCGATACCTTGCGCACCTGGGACCTGGCACACCCAGGGCCTGGCGCACCTGGGATATGGTCCGTGGCACCTGGGATATGGTCCGTGGCTCCACCTGGTGCAAACCCAGGACTTGCGTGTAAAGCAGACGTGCTAACCGCTACACTATGGAGCCCTCCCCCAAAATTGGTTTTTAATCTAATTTTCCCCAGTAACAATTTTCCTTCAATGTCTTTTCACGCTATTCGATATTCTCTCGTGACATTTTCACTGCTGCATTGTTTTCTGTTGGGTAAATGTGCTATAATTTATTTAATTAAACCTCGACGATGGTTGTTTAAGATGTTCCTACTATTTCATTGATATAAGCAATGTTGTGATGAATATCCTAGCAACAAAATCTTGGCACACGTACATGGTTATTTTTTTAGAATGGATTCCTAGAACTAAGATCGTTCTGAAAAAGTGTGTAAGGTAATAAGAATCTTTAACATGTTGCCCATTGTCTAGGATTTCTCCTGTAGTGTTTGTGTATTTCACTGAACCCTGCCCAGTTCTCAGAACTTCCAACTTGGTGAGTGGAAATTTTTATCTCAGAGTAGGTAGTACTAATGAGATAAAACGGGTTTTTGGGGGTTTTTTGTATGCTTCTCGACTGATGTTATCGATTCTTTTGTAAATTTCCCATTTGTGTCAATTTGTTCGATTTCCTATTGAAATAGTTTTCTCTGTTGGTTTATAAGTGTATTTTACATATTAAGCATATAAGCCTTCTCTCTTATTTATTGCAAAATATTTTTCTCTAGGTTGTTATTTGCTTCTCATTGTCTTTTTAGTGATATTTTAATTTTGGGGGAGACTCACTAAAGTATTTTATGTTTATATAGTCAAGGATCTTGATTTTTATTTTTCTTGCCTTTGGTGATGCTTAGAGAGAACTCCTCCATTCCAAGATGATGTAAATAATCACCTGTGTGTTCTTCTAATATTGGTGTATCTTCCTTTTTAACCTTATAAGTTATAACCTACCTGAATTCATTCTGGAGTATGATGTGAGACAGAGATATAATTAGACTTTTCTTCCCAAATGATTGGCCAGTTGATCCAAAACAGTTTTATTTTTACTCTGATATGTATTAAGTCTTATGCAAAAGCTTCAGTTAAAAATGATAGCAAATATAAGAATGGGTGGAACATGAGCGATCTCTCATTGAATAACTTTGAGATTCATAAGGTTTAATTGTACTCTAATAACTGTTTACATATCACTTTTTTAAATAGAACTGGTGCTGCAATTCATAATGTTGACAAGAAATACTGAAATTGACCTATTAAGAAGAAAATTTGCTGACATCCAGCCATATTCATTCAATCAGTCAGCATTTATTGAGTATCTAATACATTTCAGACAGCAATAATTATGATAAGTTCTTTGAACAAAATACAGATAAATTAAGTCCTCCCTAATAAGATGGCATTTGCGCAGAGACCGCAAGGAAGTGGGAAGGTGTTGCGACCATCAGGAACATTCTAGACAGAGAAACAAGAAGGTCAAAGCCCTCAGGCAGGAGCATGTTTTAGGAGAAGCAAGGAGGTCAAGTTGTTAGAATGGGGTAACAGATGGGAGATGAGATCGGAGAGTGTTGGAGGCCCCCCTTCCTGTGAGACTTGTGGGCTGTGATAGGGTCTAGATATTTCTACATCGGGCATACAAAATTCAAAGCTGATGAAGACATACCTGTGTCCTGAGTGAGATCATAGTCCATGCCAAAAACTGTATAGATATGGACAAAATTCAATAGGAACAGAGAAAACAGAACAAATAAATCTACTGGCAGAAATCAGAGAAGGCGACGTTTAAGCTGGGTCAGTAAGAAAAAATGGGTGAGATGAGATTTCTTTTCTGGGTGATGAAAATATTCTAAAGTTGATTGCGGTGATGTTTGCACAATTCTGCGAATAAACTGCAAACCAATGAATTATATACTTTAAACAGCTGAATTGTATGATATATGAAGTATATCTCAAGTTGGGTTTCTAAGTAGAATGGACATACATTTTAAATACAAGGTAGAGTTGGTTTGGGGAGAGTATTTTCGAGGAGTTTCTCTCTTTGAAAGATGGGAATTTCTTTGTTTTTGAGACCTTGAAAATTTTAAGGAATTGACAGCTCAGCCTTTGACGGAATGGATATTATATGTTGCCAGGCGCTGAGCTAGGCCTTAGGGTTACAAAAATGAAAACGATATGCTCTTTATTCAGATCTCACAGACTAGGAGAGTATGTGTGCTTGCAAGGATGTGAGGGCAACGCTATTTACTGAACAACTGAAGTATCCACTCTCCTTTGAATGATCACCTTTGACAAACGTTAAAACATATACTTAAGTCTATTTCTGTACTTGCTATGAGGTTGACTTGATATCTGTGATGATTCCAGTATCAATTTCACACTCTTTATATTATTTTACTCAGACAATTCCTCTCTCTCTCTTTTTTATATATTTTTTTCATCGAGGTGTAATTTACATGCCATATATTTTACTCATTTTAAGCATACAATTCAATGGTTGTTAGTAAATTTATAAAGCTATACAATCATTGCCAAAATTTGATTTTAGAACATTTTCATCACTCCCAAAAGAAACCTCATGGCAGTCCCACCCGCAGCCCCAGGCAACCACTAATCTACTTTTTGTCTCTATAAATTTGCCTTTCCTGGACATTTCATATAAATGGAATCATACATGTCGCCTTTTGCATCTGGCTGTGCTTTATCTATGTCTTAATAAGGGGGTGGAACCTGGCTTCTCTCATTATTCTTCAATTCCAGGAAATTTATTGGGCGTTCTTACAGGTTTAGTCTTCCACATCAACTGGAACAAAAGTCATGTTTACAACTCATTTTCTGAATCGAAAGAGATCACCCTGCTAAGTTCCGACATCATCATTTACAATCATGTGCTGCATAATGAGAGGGATACGTTCTGAGAAATGCATCGTGAGGCGATTTTGTCATTGTGCGAACGTCACAGAGCACGCACACACCCAGATGGAGCGGCCTGCGTAGGCCGAGTATACAGCTTGTTGCTTCTGGGCTACGAACCTGTATAGCATGTTACTATACTGACTACTGCAGGTAATTATAACACAATGGCAAGTATTTACATATCTAACCATTTCTAAACATAGAAAAAGTACAATAAAAATATGGTATAAAAGATAAAAAACGGTACACCTATATTGTCTAGGGAGGGCCCTTACCATGAATGGGGCTTGTAGGACTGGAAGTGGCTCTGGGTGTGTCAGTGAGTGAGTGGTGAGTGAATGTGAATGAAGGCCTAGGACACGACTGTCCACTACTATAGATTTTAGAAACCCTGGACTCCGAGGCTACACAAAATTAATAAAATGAATGTCATTACATCAAGCACAAAAGAAAATGATGCAATCAGCAGCTGTAAACAGGAGATGTGTGTGGCTGCGGGCGTAACGTAGCATACTGATTTACAGCAAACCTATAAGTAGAAAGACTACATCCTAAAATCATGATTAAAAGTACAGTATAGTAAATACATAAACCCATAACACAGTTGTTTGTTATCACTATCAAGTCTTATGTACTGTGCATAATTACATGTGCTATATTTTTAGAGTAGCTTTGTTTACGTCATGTCACCGCAGACACGGGTAAGTGCGTTGTGGTCTATGGTAGACTGAAATATCGTTATGTGGTGCATGCTGTGTTTTGTCTCTGAATAAATCTTGATTCTAAAAATCACTTCCCCCTTCGAAGACCGGAGGATGTTTTTATTTGTTAAGGTCTCTCAGACTAAAGAGATAGTTCCGGAAGTTGTTATCACACTGAGTTAAATTGTAGCCCCAGAATAAAAACAGTATAACTTTACGAGGTAACTGATTGAAGGGCACTCCATATTTAAGTTCTGGTTTGCTTCCTAAAAACGACAAATCTACATCCTCAGCTGTGTGGCAATCAGTCTTTCTTTCCGAGCCTCAGTCGCTATCCATATAATGAGGGCCGTGACACTTACATCTTGGAATCATGAACTTCCCCTTGCTTTACCTCCACTATCCACCTATAGGGTGACACCAGCCCCAAACATAAAGAACATGTGCAGAACAGGCACTGTAATCACGGATATTGTTTATAAAGCTCTTTCAGATATCAGATGCACTTAATCGTCACAAGGACCAGATGTGACGAGTATTGTTATCACCCCACTTTCTATGTATTCATTCAGGGATACGCATTTATTGACGACCTACCCTGGGTGAGTAGCGGCCTGGCGTGGGCAAACTTGAGGCCAAGGAGACAATGGTCCCAAGCTCACGGCAGTGTGGAAATACACATGCCACAAAGCAGGAAACAAAGTGTGTGAGTAATCCCAGAGTGTATTTGTGTATACAGTCTCAATGCTCAGAGTGTAAATTCTAAGTTGAGAAGGCTGCCAAGAAGGGTTGCAATGGAGAATAAAAAGGGAGGCCTCTTTCAATCAGGTCTTTGGAGAAGTTCAGTCTAAGAAGACTCATTCTCAGACTTAAAAAATAGGAAGAAGCCAACGCCTCACAGATCTGGGAGACAAGTGTTCCAGGCAGAGGAAACTGAGGCGCAGAGAGGGACAGGAAGGGCACGAGGTCGCACAGCAACTGCACAGAAGAGCCAAGATTTGAAACCCTAATGCCAGACGCCAATCTCCTCTCCGTGACATTCTAATAAACGATCATTAACTAGCCTATTGGGCTCATAGGCAGCATGTCCTAAGAAAAATTGCCTTTGCTTAATCCTGGGTGGATGGGTGGCCGGCCAAGGCTGGGGTTCGACCCACAGCCAGGCTTGTGAGTGTGGGAGCTTCATCCCATTGTCCTTCCCTTCCTCCCTCCCCCCTCCAATTCCAGCTCTGACAAAGCTGTTTTAAAAAGTTCATTAAGGCTCCTTTGTCTTCAGTCCACCTTTGAGCTGGGGCTTTTCCGGGTGGGGGTGGGTCACTGCCTGAGCCCAGCCGAGGCAGAAGCTGAGGGGCAGAGAGAGGGCGGAGCAGGCAGGGAATCTTGGGGCCTGGAGGGACCGCGTTCACCTCTCAAATGATACGTCTTCCTAGAGTGTTCCTTTTCCATGCTTTGTTTCTCTTCCGGTCCTTGGCTCATTGTAGGCATTCAATTAATATTGGTTGAATGAAACAGTTATTTGTGCCTTTCCATGGGTGAGGCATGAGGTTGGGTTCGACACTGCTTCCTTTCCACTCCGCTCGCCACCTCCCCAGCGGTGACCATGTCCTCATCGTAAAGACCAAGCAACTTCC